CAGGACTTTCTGTTGGATTTTCTATAACCCAGGGTTTGATTCTGGTATTTGAAAATATTTTGACAGCAAATTAAAGGAAAGAAAATATAATGCAGTGAAATGGCCTAGAGGCAAGACAAGCAGATGTGTTAAAGTCAAGAGCAATGGCTCGATGACACTCAGCATTTTGCCTGGCACAGAAATAGGTTTTCAAGGAAAATAAATGAGTCAGAAGGCTTAAGGAAGCAATGGCTAGGGATTAGTGAGGTAAAGAAAGGTGAAAGAAGAGGTCAAAGAGATCAGGGCTGAGGACCAGAAGCAGAAATGTCATTCCGCTAGAGTGATATATGGCTTGTCAGTGACTCATTATATAGGCTCCATAGAGATGACAAGAGTCATTGCATCAGAAAGCAGCAGTTCAGGGTAAGTGCAGGACCTGATTAGATCACACATTTCCAATGCAGGGGCTTGGCTTCTAGTGTCCTCTAGACTGAAATGTCATTAATCACCAGGAGAATTTTCAACTTGAATGAGTCCTTGTCAGCACTTACATTAATAGGAAACAAACAAATAACAACTAAAACTCAATGCTGTATTTCACCAAGTTGTCCATTTGTTCCCCTGGCATGCAGTACTTTCTAGATTATTCTATTTGTTTACAGATTTGCTCCATTATTGAAATGAGAGTGAGGTGTGAGTGAGGAAAATATCCTTCTTTCACATAGAACCTCTCTTTCATAATTACAGCTGAGGCTAAAAAGGAAGCAAAAGGATAGATGTCTAGGATACTAACAGAGAAGATATGATAGTGGACTGGGTAATCAGGACAAGCAGAGTAGAAGCCTGAAAGGAAACAGGTAAGAGGGCATGTGAATGTTAGCAGAGGCAACAAGATGCCTCTGTTAAGTAGGTACAATGCTTCTGTAGAAACTGCAAGAGCAGTGAGGGGAAGGGAAGAGCATCCCCACTGTGGTCCAGTCAAATCTCAGGATGTCCTGGAGCACTGGCCATTGCTGTCATGATGTCTCAGTAGGTCAAGTGGCACAGCAGCCACTTTATTGTCACCCCTTCAGATTTGGATATCATGCCCCTGTTCCTGTGACTTAACCTGCTCCCTTCTCTGTTCTGTCTTCAACACTGTCACAGAAATGTTTTGAGGTAGGACAACTAACTCATGGACCACTGGCCATCTATAGCATGCTTGGACTAAAGAATCAACTGGAACCCATTCAGTGGCAGTGGGTAGGGCAGCAGGATGAAAAGAGCAGGTAGTCTTTCTGCAAAGATCTGCTCCTGACCATTTTCAGAAAGGGGGCCACAGGCATAGTAAGTATTCAATGTTTGATAGACATTTCACTAGCATGAGACCCAACCAATAGATGGGATCTATCCCACTTGGGATTTACCTCAGATGTGCAAGTTGGAATGTTTTCCTTTTAACTAAAATACCCATGAGACTGTCATGTAAACAGATTGTTTTCCTAAGATTCAACCTCTTTCACCCTTGGACAAAGAAAGAAAAAAGAAAACCATCATGTGCTTCTCTCAACAGAAATCTTTGAAGTTGCTTATTGGCCCCTATATACGACAGCTGTTGGGAACCCCTACATCCTCTCAGTCCATCTTTTCACACCAGCCATTGCTGCAACAACCAGATGTGCAAGCTGACAGCAGCCCCTTCATCAGTGGCCATTCTTGCACATGGGCAAACCTGGAGATTCAAGAAAGTTAATACACACACCTGGGAACACTTTGACCAATGGGGCATCAATACTTCCCTCTTGGGTCCCTCAGGTGTTCTATTTCTAGGTGCATTCTATGCAGCTCTTTAAAGGGACCCCAGAAGCCTACAGCAGTGACCAGGTCTCAACGACACAATCTTGGAGCAGCAATCCCTCTTTCTTTCATTCATTCTTTTCAGTTCCACTCCTGCTTGTTGCCATTTATTGGCTGGACCTGGGTGACTGGAGCCAGAAAAGATGGGAGGACTATCGAGTTGTGCTCAATAGCCACTTTATTGAAGATCACTTCTGCTTTTTATAAGCTGTTTTTACACAGAGAGCATTTGGTCAGAAAAAGCATGCCAAGTATTACCTGTCAAGGTTACATTAGCACAAAGAAGCACAGTTAAAACTAACTCTTTGTTATGTCTCCTTTAAAACGGGAACAGAAAGGCAGGAGAAGCACAGAGTCAGCATAACTTTCTTATTTACATCTGAAGGACACGAAGCCATCTGGGAACCTTGAGCACTGTTGTTTTTCTGGACATCTAGTCCTGAGGCCTTTGCCTCAGTTCCTTGGAACTTTCTCACAAGGCCAGATACCAAATCACACAGGCAAGGTCTGGTCCTGAGACCTTTGTTTCAGTTCCTTGGAGCTTTCTCACAAGGCCAGATACCAAATCACACAGGCACAGCCCCACTGCTGGCTCTGACACCTGCTCCCTGGGATCACTTCTCAGAGTGAACAACCTGCACAAAATCCCTTGTTAAAGGTTGTGCTTGGGCTGGCAGAGTGGCTCAAATGGCAGAGTGCCTGCCTAGCAAATGTGAAGCCCTGCCTTCAAACACCAGTACCACCAAAAATAAATAAATAAATAAATAAAAGGCTGTGGGTTTTTTGTGGGGGGCCAAGGCCTTTCAATCATGATATTGTTTCTTGGGTCTGGTGAGGTAGCTCACACCTGTAATCACACCTACTATGGAGGCAGATGTAGGGAGGATCACAGTCCAAAGCCATGCTGGGCAAAAGCACAGGACCCTATCTGAAAAACCAAGCTAAAAGCAAAAGGACTGAGGATGTGGCTCACATAATAGACCTGCTTCTTTAGCAAGCAGGAGGTCCTGAGTTCACTCCCTAGTACCACACACACAAAAAAAGATATCGTTTCCTTCATCAAGTACTTCCTAAGATGCAGGAAATGTGTTCAATGTTAACTTTCAGAGAGCAGAACTGTTTTCTTTCACTCCAAGTCATTTTCTATGCATCTTCTTTCAGCCCCAATATAGCTGGGAAGCTGAAGGAGGATGGAGGCAGAAAGGCTCAATGCCACATCTCCAAGCCTTTCTATATCTTCAAATCAGTGATTCTCAGTCTTCGGCTAGAACCTTTATGGAGAAGGCCTGTGAAGATACTCACTCCAGGTAGGTCAACCTGCTCTACTAAACTCCCCAGGTGTTTAGGCATATGGATCTTTCCAAAGCACCCCAGTCATTTTGATGTCTGTGCCCAGTTGAGAATCACAGCTTCAGACCCATCAATCTACCCAAGACAGTAACTGGATCCAACCATTAGTGCTACTTCAAGTAAAATATCATCAAGAAGATCTTTGATCATCTTAAAATGAGGGTGAGAGAAAAATGGTCATTTGCTCTCTGCAAAAGAGAGCACATAGGCATTCTTTTTCCCTGAGTGGGTACAACAGAATTGTCAGTCTAGAATGAAAATGTAAAGATGGGAATCTATTTATTTATTTATTTGAAACACTCTGATAGCTCAAGCACCATGGGAGATACAAAGGATGCAATGACCAATAGTACGCAGCCTCTGCTCTCAAGAATAGATGGCAATAACATCAGTGGGATGAATGAGATGTAAAGCAATCATGACTTTATTTTTTTAATCTTCCATTGTTCATTTCAGTCTGCTTGGTAAGAAAAGTTTCTCCCTTTCTTGTGTTTGCAAACCCTGGTAGGTCTGTGACTCTACTAATCACTCTTAAGTTAAAAGTAATCCTATGGTAGTGGTTGTTTCTTCTTCTTCTTCTTCTCCTCCTCCTCCCCCTGCTCCTTACCCTCCTCCTCCTCCCCTTCCTCCTTCCACTCCTCCTTCTTCTTCTGGTGGTACTAGGGTATGAACTCAGGGCCTCTTGATCTACATCCCCTCAGTCCTTTTACTTTAGTTTTTCATTTAGGGATCTTGTGCATTTGTCCCAGCTGGCTTCAGACTAAAATCCTCCCACCTCCATCTCTGGAGAAACTGGAATTACAGGTGCAGGCTGCTATACCTGACTCTGATTCTATGGTTTTTTTAAATCACAAACCACAGTCTCTAGGGCTGGTGGAGTGGCTCAGGTGGTAAAATGCCTGCCTAGCAAGCATGAGGCCCTGAGTTCAAACCCTAATATGTTAACCAACTAACCAACAAACAAGCAAACATACAAAGTACACATACAAACCACAGTCTTAATGTAGTAATTTGGATGTCCAATAAGCACTGGAGAATAATCAAATCTCTGAGCTTGACTTAGAGCCCAAGCTTCTTACTTTTCTATTGTTAGTTGTTGTTGTTTTTGCTGTTTTGTTTTGTTTTGTGCTGAAGATAGAACCCAGCCTTGCCATGCTAGGCAAGTGTTCTGCCTCTGAGCTACATTCCTAGCCCCAATATGACATTTTAAAATAGATTTAGAAAAACCAAAATGGTTAGTCTTAGCAGGTTCTTTAATTTCCTCATTTAGTTTCTAAAATTCCTATAAATTTATGCATGTGAATGTTATTATAAAATCAGAAACTCTATTATTATTGATTAATCCTGGGGGATTTCTTAAATTTCACTTATGCAAAGACTAATTGGCTTCATTTCTAAGGAGCGCATGAAAAATGGTCTTTTATGGATTTAAAATACATTCTGATAAAAACTGACCTTGGGAGTCGAGAAGTATGAGTGCTTTGAAATGATGATCTCATTTAAAAAGTAGTTCAAATAGGATTTAATGGACTGTGAAGCTATAGTTTTAAGTTAATGAGTGTACCTAGTAGAAAGCTTTGCACTGATAAGAAATATGAAAGGTCAATCAAGGTATTATAATTATCTTAATAGTTTAAGCATCTTTCTTATTTAACATGTCTATTATTTTGACAGGTTTTGGTCGGGGGTGAAAGCAAAGAGTGGTGTCTTTTAGCATCCTTACCATATCATTATAAATCATTAACTCAGTGTTCACACATGGACTACCCATGATGGATCACACAATCTAATGCACACATCATCCAGGCTCTGAGACTATTTTGACTAAATGCTCTTTCAAAACCACAATTATATGCCTAATACTAGCTCTTGATTTGGTCTGTCAAAACCTTGAAAGTCATTGCCCAAAAAGAAAAGACAGCAGACATCCAGTCAATCAGCTTAGTTTTAATTACCCAAGTGTGTATTGACCTTTGTATGGAGACCTAATGGAGGATACACAAGAAAGAAAAAGACAAGATTCCTACTCTCAAAAAAATTAAATTCAGCTTCAGACACTGCTCAAGACAGCAATACTTAAGGATTTATACTGAGTAGCATTTGCGTGGCACAAGACAACTTAGTACAGAGTGAACCCGCACAGGGACACCATGAGGGACTATGGCAGGGATGGAGGAAGGCAATTGGGAAATACATCTAGGGAGGTGGTTAAAAACATTGAACCCGTTTCTAGTCACCCAAACACCAGTGGTTTGTTGTGGACCCTGAGTTCCACTTCTGCTGATTTCAGTTTGCTCACCTAACTCTGAACTAAAAGCTATGAATCATATGTTGTCTAACGTCTTCTGGTTATAACACTATAGGATTTTAAGGACAAATGCAGAGAGAATGGAAAGGTAAGGATATTACAGGTAGGAGGAAGAACAAGCACAAAGCCACAGAAGGAGAAAACAGTTGTGGGTGCACGGGCAAGGTATATTGTAGGACAAGGACCTTAAACAAACCTATTTAACTACTGAAAGATTCTGAGAGCTGTGACGTTGGAATGGGTGGGACAGAGTGCTAAGCAAGGATGCTAACCAGGGATCAAAAAGGAGAAAGTGATGCTGTGTTTCCTGTGGTCTGACTTACCCTCAGGCTTCTCACCTCACTCTGCATTCTTTATGTCTTCGACGATTTTATTGCGACCCCTTCCCCAAGCCCATATCCCAAGGAGAACAAGAATAAGGCATGTTTACAGATGGCCTCTCTTTAGACACGCACGAGTAGCTCCTTTTTGTAGGCAAGGAAGCCAAGAGCTGTTGCTGAAAAGATGGTGGTCAATCCAATCAGCTTCAGCAAGCCTGGCACGGAGGGCAAGTGTCTCTCCAGGAAGGTGGTGGTGATGGGCAGTGCAGGGACATCCTGGGTTAAGAGAAGGTTTGTGTCAATACAGCGCTTGTGTGTGTCATTCTGGAAAGTCTGTATTTCTTCCAGTTCTCCAAGAGTGACCCACTCTTCCCCACCTCTAGACCATTAAACATGATATTCCTTCTGTGAAACTGCTCATCCCTCTTCTACACTGGGCCCTTTACATAACTTTTGTCACTTCCATAGGGATCCTTTCTGTAGCTCCCAGCCTGAGAAGGCTCCTTCTTTTCACATTTTCCTCAGTGTGTCTTTTCTATCAGATTTGTACTTCTTTGCAGTTATTATCCATCTTCCCCACCCAACAGTGACCTCCATGAAAGTGCTGCTAGTGACATGGTGCATGTAGAACACGTGTGCCATAAATATTTGTTGAGGGAATGAATGGATGCCCCTCCTCCTAGTGGATGCAGAAGCACTAGGAGAAGGACTTTGGAATGTCAAGGCTATTCTCTTTGACTTCACACTTAAATGGATAGAGAAATAGCTGTCCTCTATAACATGTTTTCATTCTGTCTATTCTCTATGCATTGTTCCTTTCAGCTAGGAAAATCTCCCTGAATTTTATTGCAAAAATGATAAGTATATTGGCTTTTTCATCTAAATGTGCTCTGTTTTGTTCCATCCCTTAGCCTCTGGACAGGAGACAGTGTACTTCTTTTTAATTTTCCTACTTCCTATTGCAATTTATCAGGTGAGATATTTATTCAACAGACATTTGCTGAATTTTTAGGTTTGGGGGGGATTTGTATGTGGAGGGTGCTGAGGATGGAACTCAGGACCTCACACATTCAAAGAAAGCACTCTACCACTGAGCTATACCCTCAGACCCTATTGAGTGCTTAGTATGCCTTGAACTCTCTGAGAACTATCTCCTCCCTATCAAAAATCTTATTTTTTTCTTAATAATAGGCATTGGATGTGGCAGTTATAAATTTATCAAAATTCATCTAAATGTCTCACCCCTGCCCTACTCATACTACCCATGAGCGTATTCATGGGTTGACTCACTTAGGCACAGGAATGTAGATATAGACAAGTAGATATATACATAATTGTTTTAGGAAAAAGACATCTAAATTCACAAAATGTCGCCTACCACAGACTCTGGTTCTGGTGCCCAGATTTCATCTTCTGGGATCTTCCCTATGGCATGCAGGATCTGAAATGAAAGAGCACCTTAGTGAATAGCAAAATGGGTAATATCTTCTAATCTACTCTTTAAACAAAGGACTAAGTGAATGTCTCTTGGGATATCCATCAAAAACACCAAAGTAAAGGCCAGAGCAGTCCACTCGACCTTTAAAAGGCTCCAAAAGGTCTTCAGTCTATGGTATCAGAGGTTCTGACCATTAATGTCACCATAAATTTTAGTAGTTGTGAACATGCCTTAATAGGAATGAGATCAGAGGAATGGACGAGAGTGATAACAATGAATTCTGAATCCTAATATAAACATGCCTGATTCTGTAATATCAGACCTACCTTCTCTCTCAAATTATCTCCATGGACTCTTTTTACATTGGGTGCCATGTTAGATATTTCATTATAACTGTTAGGTTAAGGTGCTCCCTTCACCTATAATTGCCATTATAATGTCATATTGGTGGTTCCTTAGCCTTCAGATGGGAGCTACTGGGAAGTTGCCACCAGAATCTCAGAAATGTTTGATCAGCTTGTCAAGTCCATGAGTTGCCTCCTTCTACACAGCCCATGACTTTGTAACCTACCTCTCTAGCTGCTCTCTCCCCAGCCTCCACAGCCCCCTCCATGTAACCACTCCAATGCGCGGCTGTCTCAGTGCCCGCGAAGAAAATCCTGCCTACTGGCTGGCGTAGAACCCTGGGAACACAAGCAAAGAGGTGAAAGTGGTTGTCCTCACACATCCAGAGATGAACTTTTGCATGAGGGCCAAGGCTGGTTGGTTTCCTCAGGTTCAAAACTTCAGTGGGAACACTGGCAATGGTGGGATAATGTTCCTTAGGTTCCTCCAGCTTTGCGTGATTTTTTTTCTTTTTCTGGAGATAGGGTTTTGCTGTGTGGCTCAGACTGGCTTCAAACTTGTGATCCTTCTGCCTCCACCTCTCAAGTGGTGGGATTATAGATGTAACCCACCATGTCTAGCTCTTGCATTATCTTTGTCACAGACAAAATGGGAAAAAAAGTCAAAGTCCACTCCTGCACCAAGAGCTCATGGGTAAAGGAACTGACATGGATGGACAAATAATATATATTTGCTTTAGTAAGCAGGGACTATAGGAACTCAGTCACATATGGTTCCCTGCATGGCTCACCAGCTCTGGACAAGGTGACACAAGCCCTAATTCCCTGCCTGCTTATTTCACCAATGAACTTGGCAAATCACTTCTCACTGAGCTCCAGTTTTCCCGTCTCATAAAACGGATGCTGTAATGATTTCTAAGACTGATTCTATCAGTAACACATGTTTTGAAGCAGGGTCTCTTTATATAGACCAGGATGGCTTCGAACTCACAATCCTCCTGCCTCATCCTTCCAAGTGCTGGATTACTGGTGTGTGCCAACACGCCTGGCTTCCCATCAGGAGCACTTTTTAAAAAAAAATGAGTGATAGTTATCACTCATTACCTCTACTAGGATTACTGTATCAAATTATAACAGTTCACATATGTTAGGTGCCAAATACTCTTAAAAGTGTATGAATCCTCAGCAAAACTTCAACATCTACAGTTTGCTCAGGATAATATGGAGGTAGCTGTGGTGGACATTGTGACACACCACCCAGACCCCTTCAAGAATGAAGGACTTGTTCCCAGCTGGCTGGGTGTGCTGCTGATGCTGGCCTTCTTTGGGGGCTGCCTCCACTGAAGAAAACTATCTCACCTTAAGTCATGCTTCCTCCCAGCAGCTGCAGTCAGTGACCAGTCATGGGCCCATAAAGACCTGTGCTCTGAGCTCCAACTTAGATTCACTCTGAAGAGCCATTCTGGTTCCAGAGCTCTCCATGGGGTCAGCCAGGGCCTTCACTGAGGCTGTATCACCACTGAAATTCTCCCTTTGCCCTTTGCTTTTTCTTGCTCTTTCCTCTCTCTTCCATAGGTATTAATTTTAAGGACACAGTCTAACATATATCTTGTTTACTAATCATTTCAGAGTCTGCTTCCTGGAACCTAACCAGTGACAAAGACAAAGTCATATTCTCTAGTTCACAGATAGGAAGTGGCAGAGCTGGTATTTGATACCAAATAATCTGACCCTGGAACCTACAGTCTTAGCCACCTGGTTGTGCTTCCTCTCCCCAATGCATTGTTTTCTCAGATCTTCCAAGAACTTTAGGACGTGACTACCATTATCATGATCTCGTTACATAAGAGGGAACTGAGGCTATGAGAAATGTGCAGAGACTCACCAAGAGCCAAGAGCCATGCTTCCAGAGAATAGCAGAACCAGGATTTGAACTAGTTCTAAATAGAGACAGAAGTCAAAGTCTCTGTTTTTATTGTAAATATCTTGGTGTGGCATCATCACTAGTTAACAAAGAGTGCCCACGTGCTATGCAAAGAGATCAAAGTATCACAGCACTTAGCCTACAGAAGGGGCAGTTTGGTGTCTCCCTTACAAAAATACCGTAAGTGAATTACCATCAACCAGCTGTTATTTACCCTCTCTCAGGTTCCCATTACTCCAGATAAGGGCTGTCCAGAGACCACCCCTGCTCCATCTTAACGGTGATGGTTAATCTTGATTGGATTGAGAAGTGCCCAGGAGATTATAAAGTTCATCTCTGAGAGAATCTGTGAGAACATTTCCAGAGACAATTCCATCATGAGGACTCTGGCTTAATGAATGGTTTGATCCATCGATGGATTCAAAATCTGAACAGGACTGTTGGAAGGTGGTGGAACTGTGGAAGGTGGGGCCTGATAGAAGGAAGTAGGTCACTGGGGGTGCATGTCCTCAGGGGCTATATCTTGCCCTGGCCCTTCCTGTTACTGCTCCCCTCTGCTTCCTGTTTGCCATGAGGTGAGGTACTCCACCATGCCCTTCCCACCCTGAAACCTCTGAAACCATGAGCAAAATAATTCTTTCTTCCCAGAAGTTGTTTCGGTCAAGTATTTGACTGTAGCAACAAAAAGCCAACTAGCACCACACTCCACATTGCTGGACCTCTTAGAAACCTGAACAGGCTGGCTTGAATGGGTAGATTTTTCTTCTCCTGCCTTTATTTCAACCATCAAAAAAAAAAGGCAGGGGGGTACAAGAGAAGATATTATAGAACATTATTAAGCTGATAACAGTACATGGAATTATCAAGAGCCTGAGGGTATTCAGGAAGAGTTTCCTGCAAGAGAAGGTAGATTTGCCTTCTCTTTGCTCATTAAACTATGCTGCATTTCACCACGTGTTCACTTTGTAAAGAGAGAACGGTCCAGTTGGAGACCACTGGGAAGCCTGGCTAAACCCTAGAGTTAAAGATTAGAAGAAAACTGCCTGGGTGTGGTGGTAGACTCTTATAATCCCAGCTAATCGAAAGGCAGAGGCAGGAGGATCACGAGTTTGAGTCCAGCCTGGGGAAGGCTAATGAGGTTCTATCTCAAAAACAAAAACACAAACGAAAGGTCTGGGGGCATGGCTCAAGTGGTAGAGCACTTGCCCAGCATATGCAAGGAAGCGCCTATGCTCAATCCCGAATACTGCATTTAAACAAAGATTAGAGAAAAACTAAGACTTGGAGAACTAAACGTGCTAACACTAAGCATATGAAATTGCAAAAATCAAGAGCACAAGAACCAATGTAAAGTATTAGAACTGCTGGGTCATTTGGAAATAGTCTTCCTTTAGGGGAAAAAAATGTCCAAGAGCTACATAAGAAAATCCCTGCTCCTTCTTTTGCAGGTGAGTGAGCAGAAAGTATATATTCACAAAGGATAGAAGATAGAGGATGTCATAAAAGAAAGTTCCACGTAACATTTCTCACAGCTTATGTATCTTCCTGCAGAATTATTATAGTCAGTTTTTCACTGTATCCAGAAGAAAAATTCCTAACATTGGAGTGTTAGCCCCTCAGCAGGGAATGTGATATTGGGAGTGTGAATTGATATTAAAGTTTCCAGCTCGTGGTTGGCAAATGGTTGGCACTTAGCCACACCATGCTGACTGAAGCAATTATTGACTTATTCTACAATCAGCATATTTGAAAATAACTTAAGGACCTAGTAACTTATCCAGCCCTAGAATGTTCTCTTGGGATGATACTTTGCCATCTGCAGGAAGATAAGGAAAGTGCTAATTAAAGCCATTATGCATCTTCTGATGAGGGGTTTAAATCCTTCTTCAACTGGTTTTCATGGAGAGATTGATCAGCCATGCCCACTTACTCACGCCCTCTGTTCATGGTGTGGTCTCAACAGTCTTTCACTTACTGGTTTACAGCTCCCATTTTGTTTAAATTGAGCTCTTGGCACTCGACAGTTGCTTTGTTTGGTATTACTGTGATGGACAGAATAATTACTGCTACATCATTAATTCATACCTTGTTATTGCCATCAAATCCAATGAACTCCAAATCATTGACAGCCTTGGATGCACAATGCTGAGTGCTAAAAGCCACTGAACTGTGCACTTTGAATGGGTGGATTGTGTGGTATGTGAAGTATAGCTTAATAAAATTGTTCAAAAATAACTCATGCTCTCATCAACATAGTGACTACTGCCCACTGTACACCATCTTGTGCGTTCTCATCCATGTGCTAAGGGAAGTGTGGTTCTGAATAACGAATTGGGTTATTGGTAGAGTCAGAGTGGGAGGACCTTCATGCTCAGTCTAGGATTCATTTTGTTTTAAAAGGGCAGTCACAGGGGTGCATTTGAGGTGCTTTTCAGAGCTCTAAACTCAATGTAAGGACACCATATAAGTGAACCCTTTGACTTCTACATTGCTCTTTTTTTTTTTTTTTGGTGGTGGTGGTGGTGGTGGTACTGGGGTTTGAACTCAGGGCCTCACACTTGCTGAGCAGGTGCTCTACCACTTGAGCAACACTGCCAGCCCTGCATTGCTCTTCTTCTTCAGCGACCTTCTTCAGTTATAACGACTGGGTTCACTCCTACAGAGGAATGAAGAGTGAAATGTGGCACCACAGTGAGGAGTTATAATGGCTTTCTTCCCGGATTCACAGCATAGAAAGGAAATTGGGGCTCTTCTTCCTGGTTGTTTTTTTCTTTTTGGTATTTACAGGAAACGGGAGAAGAGTGATGCGGATCTGATGAGTTTGAATTCTGGTATGGGGGGGTCAGTTCCAGCTTGGCATACTTTTACTTTACCTTCCATATTGAGTCATGATCCCAGGGGGGAAGTAGGTCGTGTAGCAGCCCCCCGAGTACTGCTCCTCACACCAGTTCTTCTCTTCATAATGCACCGGCTGCAAGGCAGACAAGCAAAAGCTTGCAGGAAGGGCAGAGGAAGGCAACTACTGTAAAACAAAGCTTACAGACCCCACGGACTTTATATCAGAGAAGCCACTGCAGTCGTCCTCAGAATCTGCGGGGGACGGTTCCAGGACCCCCACCCAGCCACCCACATACCAAAGGCCCCAGACGCTCAGGTCCCTTACACAAAATGGCATGTATTGGCATCGAACCTATGCAACTGTCTCATCCATTTCCCTTGAAATCTTCTCTGGGTCATCTCGAGGGCCTAGCTCGAGGTTAATGCTATGCAAATGGTGACTGTGGTCGACTGCTCGTCCAGTAAAGGCAAAAGGCCACCCACGCTCAGTGCGGAGACAATGGTTTCCACATATTTTCCTCCTGCGCTTGGTGGAATCCACAGATGCACAGCCCGCAAATACGGAGGAGCTGGCTGCTTGTGAAATAGAGCCTCATTATTCTTAGGCTTTTGAAGTTATGTCTTTGGGCAGGTAAAATGTCCTTGGTAATAACCTAGGAAATTAAGACTTTGGAAAGTCTTCTCATTTGGTTCAAGAATGTTTTGACTATTTTTATCTGAGGCAGTGTCACGCCATGTAACCTGTACTAGCCTGGAATGCACTACGCAGCCAAGGTTGGCCTTGAACTCTCAATCTTCTTGCCTCGGCCTCCTGAGTGCTGGGATTACAGATGTGCACCACCACACCTGGTCATGTATGTCTTAAGTTGTGTTTATAGACTGTGATAGTCTATTTCCATCTTTACCTTGATCTTACTTATTAAGAAGTTTTAGTGCTAATGGTTTTGAGAAAAGGGTTTTTTTTGGGTGGGGGAGGAGACTAAGGTTTGAACTCAGGACCTCATACTTGAGCTACTCTGCTAGCCGAGCTTTTAAAATAACTTAAAACTTATATTTACTAGAGTGGTTGGACAGGAAAAACCAGAAAAACATGTCTGTTGAAGCAAAAGGATGACCAGATTCATGTTTTTGGTGGAGGCAAGCTTTGTTAAGGAAAGTTAGATAGCTAAACTAAGGTTTCCGTGGCATGTAAGCACTTCTATTGATGGTGGTACTTGTAAACAAATATTTGATCTGCAAAATAGAGTTTTGCCATGAATAGGCAATACTTTAGCTGTGGTTTTGTAAAGTTTGAACACTTTACAAAAACAGAGGTTGGGGTTGTGGATGAGTGGTAAAGGTCATGCCTAGGTTTGATTCCTAGTAACACACACACACACACACACACACACACACATACACACACAACTAAACAGGAACTTTATCAAGATAATATCAACACAGCAAGTTTTAATAGAAGAATGCTTGATTAAAAATAGATTTTGAAAAAAAATATATTTTAAAGGCCAAGCATGGTGGTTCACACCTATAATCTCAGCTCTTTGGGAGGCAGAGTTTGGGAGGATCATGGTTTGAGGCCAGCCCAGGCAAAAAGCTAGTGAGATTCCATCTCAACCAACAATCCAGGTGTGGTGGAACACACCTGTAATCCCAGCTAAGTGGGAAGCATAGATAGGAGGATTGTGGTCCCAAGGCTGACCCCAGCAAAAACACAAGATCCATCTGAAGAATAACTAAAAGCAAAAAGGGTTGAAGGTGTGACTCAGGTTGTATAGTGCCTCCCTAGGAAGCACGAGGCCCTAAGTTCAAATCCTAGTATTGCCAAAATAATACATTTTGAAAAATGTTTTGTTTAAAAATTTTCTGCAATCACATAATTGACTTTGGATAGCCATTCATAAAGCATCCTATTTACAAAGCACGAGGCCCTGCCTGATGGGTTTAAGTGGCTGCAGGTCACTTGTGGTGTCCCTGCATGTCCCAGCATCTGAGCACTAAAGCCACCACCTGAGCATCCTTCTTGGGCTCTTTGCAGCCAATCAGAAGAGACACGGCACTTTCCCTTTCACCCTTCCACAAAGCAGACACCAAGGCAAGGGCAAATAAGGGGCTTCCTCTGCATCAGAGGAATGCAGGGGCAGGAGCGGCTCATGTTTACCAGCGGGGAGCTAACCATCCACATGCTTCTAGAAAAAGACGCTTTCCCAAATACAAACATGCTCACCTTTTTTAGAACTATGAGAACAACTGCTTTCCTCACTCAAGTTGTAGGAGAAACTTCAGTTACAAATTGCTATAGACTGAAAGTGTCTCAGAGTGTGACTTCAAAGACGCTGGGTAAAATATCCAGAACAGCATTTTTTGAGGGGTGGTACTGGGATTTGAACGCAGGGCCTTGTGTTTGCCTAGCAGGCACTCTACCATTTTTTGTTTTAGTTTGTTTTTCAGATAGGGTCTGTTGCTTGACCTGAACTCAAACCTCGATCCTCCTGATTTCTACCTCCTAAGTAGCTCGGATTACAGATGTGCACCACCATGCCCAGCCCTCAAACAGCATTTTTAAGAAACAAATTAAATGATTTTTAACAGCTGTTAAATGACTTTTTTAGTGTTGTATATATTTTTAGTTTTGCTACTTCACTTACTATCCTGGAGCCTAGAGGCTAAGCCTGTAATTAAACTTGCTAAATGGTATATGAAAGCAAAAAATAAAAGTGTATTCCTCACTGACATTGTTTCTCTCTAAATCATTCAATTAATTGTTCTTGTTCATTTCCTGAGAAAGAATTGCAAAACTCCTCAAGAGCATGTGTCTCACTGACATCAAGTACAGAATGCCCCCAACGGGGGTATGAAAAATCTTGCTTTAAAATAATGATCAGCCCGGCACCAGTGGCTCACGCCTGTAATCCTAGCTAGTCGGGAAGCAGAAATCAGGAGGCTCGAGGTTTGAGTTTAGCTCCGGCAACAAAAGTGAGACCCTATCTTGAAAATAGCCAAGTGGTAGTGCTTAAGAGGTAGAGTGCCTGCCTAGCAACTCATGAAGCCCTGAGTTCAAACCCCACTACTGAAAAAAAAAGATAAAAAATGACAAGTTCAAAAGTCACAACAACTTGGCCAGGAGAAAGCCAGCCCCTCCTAAGTGGAACAACGTAAGCACTAAGGGTTGGAGGTCTACGCGAAGTAAGGAGGTGCTCGCCCAGCCCGTGGAGACGGGCCTCCCCTTTTAGCCGCTCCTTTGTACCTTGCTCTCCATTGTCTTCAGATGGCTCCTGGATACCCGGATTCTGTAACCACTTTCAAAAGCTGACATAACCCAGGCAAAAAATTAACAACCCAGCACTCTGGTGACTTTTATAAGAACACCAATCCGTCATTTTAGATATTGGTGAGGGAGGTGGTGGTAGCTACTGCTTATGAGCCCTTTGGGGCCTCTGACAGTCATCAAATGTCCCAAGAAAGAAGTGCTGGCATGCTTGCCTACCACACCACCTCCCTACCCTGCCCACCCCCATCCCACCTCTAATGGCCTTGGAGTTCTACTGAGTTAATTTGAAGATCATCATCTGGTCAGGCTACTTCGAAAGGTATCTAGGAAACCCAGGTGACAGGACTGGGTCCATCAGCCTGTCTTTCTTCAGTCCCTAAAACAAGGCAGGAAAGGGGTCATGCAAGGGGGGAACAGGTTGGCCTACTTTCACCTGCAAGACAGCGGGCTGGAGTAAGGGTGCGTTTGTGCACAGGAATGAGATCATGGTCTTCTTATAAGACCCCCAGAGAAAAAGAAAGGTCTTCTTTCATTCCCATCCAGGCTCCCAGGATCTCGGAGCTCCCCATGGGTAGTAGAAGCACCCCTTCTTTTACCCCCTGACAGAGCTGGGGGGAGAGTAGCACAATGTCCTGCTGCAGGCAAAGATGTGAATTCAGGGACAGGTGTAGTACCAACTAAACCGTAGCATGTCACAGGGTTCCTGACACGCCACCAGTACAAACAGGGCCCATACTCTCTGGCCCACTTCTAAGTTAGCCAGCCTGCTGCCCATGCCCTCAGAACACAGTGAGGCTCCCCCACCTTGGGGAAGGGCCAGGAGATAGCCTTACCTGCAGAGCTTCCTGGCAGCCCAGAACCTTTGCGTAGAGCTCACAGAGTTTCTTCAGCCTATGGAACAGAAGAAGAAATTAATGAGAAAAGTGAAGGTGAAGAAAGGAAGGAAGGAAAGGGAAAAATGACTCTGTGGAACAAGTATGAGGCCCTGAGTTCAAAATCCCAGTGCCAGCCAAAAAATGCTTATCGAAAAAAAGGGGGGACTCACAGCATGGCTCAAGTGGCAGAGTGACTGCCCCCACTTTGACATTTCATTTTAATTTTCTTTTTGCGGTGTTGGGGATGGAACCCAGAGCCTCATACACACTAGGCAAGAACTCTACCACTAAGCTATATCCCTGGCCCATTTTAATTTTTTAAAAGAAAAAATGTCTTAAACCTATGAGGTCACAAATATGAATCAGGTGGTATTGTTGATGATTTTTTTGGCAGTGCTAGGGTTTGAACTCAGGTCCTCATGCTCACTGGGCAGGTGCTCTACCACTTGAGCCATGCTGCCAGCCCTTGCTGATAAACGTCTAAGAGAGTAAGTGATGCGCTGCCTGCACCACTGCGGGGCATGGGGCAGTTTCTTCATTCATTTGAGAAAACAGATTGTGGACCTCTTAAGTGTCTGTCCGTCTGCTAAGCCCCGGATTTGCCAGGAGGATGAAGGCATGGCCCTTGTCATCTCATCTTTGTCCCCCTGCCCTGCTATGAGGCAGTGGGCACAGTGGAAAGGGAGGGAACAGGAAAAGTTGTAACTTTTGCTTCTGTCCCTTACACACTGTGAGATCTCAGGCAGGTTGCAGAGCTTTACTTTAACCAACAATCTTCCATGCCTTTTGCTCTGGCAGTGCTGGGATTTGAAGTCAGGACCTTGCACTTGCTAGGCAGGTGCTCTACCACTTGAGCCATACTCCCAGCCTTTTTAGTTTTGGTTATTTTTCAGATAGGGTCTCATGCTTTTGTCTGGGGCCGGCCTCAGACCACGGTCCTACCACTGCCTCCCTAGTAGCTGGGATTATAGAAGTGTACCACCATACCATGCCACACATGACTTGCTCATTAACTATTCAAAACTCTCGTTCCCAGAGTTGCAGCATGAGCATGAGTGCAGGACTTGGGAGGAATGTCAACGCTCACGTCCCACCCCAGACCTCCTCACTCAGAATGGGGAGTGAAGCCATCTGTGTTTTCATGAACCTTCCAGGTGATTCTCAATTGTGAGAAACACCAATATGAAATTTCCAGCCCAACAACTGGTATGTAATAAATAAATGTGCAATAAATCAAAGCTCTTAAGTTTACTGGAGGAATTAGGAGTAAGCCAACAGATACAATTTGTCAATTAAATACTCAAGATAAGACAATGTTATTTCTATAAATATGCTTTGCTATTTCAAGAGTGCTTTTTATAGAACAGTAATTCTAAAGGAGAGATAGAACATAACCTAGAGGTAGGTCAGTAACTTTTAACAGTATTATTATTTTAAATCCAGGAATTCTTTTTACACACAAAAGTGTATAAAAATGCCTAATTTCTTTCTTCCTTCTTCCTCTATTTTCTCTCTCTCTCTCTTTCTTGCTCTCAATGAAATAGCTAGGCACAAGCAGAGGAATGGCCAGAGTAAAGAAGTAAAATTAAACTCAGAAATATGTAAATACATAAGGGTATTTAGAATTCATAAACCCGTGAGGGAAAGGAAAGATTACTCAGAAAAATGGCAATTGGACAAGTGGCTGAAAGTTGAAACACCTACATTACTTCTCACTCCAAAATATATTTCAGAAGGAGCAAAGATTTTCATGTAATAAATGAGTCCAGAAAGGTAGTGGAAAATAGGTAATTAAAAAACAAAATTATGTTGGAATAGAAAAGTCTTTTGTGGGCATGATAGATCATTTAGAAGCAATGGGTAGATGTCAGTACTTACAAAGATACAAGTTTAGTACAGTGTAACATGAAAAATCTATTTGTGCCAGGCACTGGAGATCCAGGAATGAACCAACCAGAGTACACTTCCTAACCTTCCCGAATTGTATTCCAGTTGGACATTTTTATTTAGGCGTGTGACCCAGGCAGACCGCCCTAACTCTGGGCCACATGCAGAGGTGGCATTGGTCACAGAGGAGCGTGCTGATGGAAGGGGAAAAAAGGCACCATGTTGTCACTTAGGGCTCTTAGCTGCGGGAATACAGAATCACGGGAAGAAATTGCCACCCCCAGAGAGATGGGCTCCCCCGGACCCACAATCTGTAACTGTTATGCAGTGTCCATGTGCTGTTTGTCTATCTGGTTATCTCCTCCATGAGTAACTGGTCAGCCCCTGGGTTATATTCGTCTTCATGGTCTCCATAGTTCCTTCCTAGCACGGTGTCTTGTGTGCAATAAACTCAATAAATAATAACCTGAATACTTGGCTCTTACGTTATCAGCACTTTGCCTTTATCAACAGCCCTTAGCACCAACACGAGAGACACATATCATTGGCAATACACATATCATCAGGCATTCTGTAAGTTAAAAGTTAAGCAAACTTGGAAGGCAAGGAAGGAGGCAGAAAAGGAAGGAGGTTGGCAGGGAAGGAGGAACACTTTTTGTTACCTCTCTTCTTTGGTAAGACGTGCCAATTTTCTGGCTTTGTGAGCAAGGATAAATCTGTAACATACAAATAAGAGAAGAAGAAAAATGAATTCTTTTCATCCTGAATTCACTTCTATAGCTACATAATGTTAAAAGTCAACCAGTAGAAACAATCTAGACACTAGTTTATTTTATGTTCAGTTTTACTATTTATATGTTGCATTCCTGATGCTGAAAGCACCTCCTGGCTTTGGGGAGTCAAGGGACAAAAGTAGATGACTGGCCATAAATTCTGTCTAGGATAACATGATGACAGATCCACTTCCTCCTAATCTGGCTGGTGGCCAATAAAGAAGGAGCCCTGGCCTCAAATGCCCACTGAAGGCTGCACACCAGCCCTTCCAATTCCGACCAGACTTGCTCTTTGGGGTCTTTCTCCGTGATAGTGTCCCCCTAGCTTCAACCTTCTAGACTCTGCCTCATTTCCTTCCCTAGGATTGCTTTCTACTTAACAGTTGGCTTTGAGTTTCCTGTTCTCACCTTGGCTTTCTCGGAGATAAACATATACGTGTTCTAGGGGCAATTTTAATTTTAACTCCTCTTTGGAAAAAGTACTGGCCTCCAAGACACCCTCCATCTGTAATGATCTTTCCTGGCAAGCTAAGGGTAGAACTGGCCTTGGCTCCTCTCTAATGGGACTCAGAAAATCTCAGTCTCCCACATAAATAATATTTTCTATAGTTTGGATATGATTCGCCCCCACCAAAACTTATGATAAAACTTCACTCCCAAAGTGGTGGTATTGAGGGGTAATGGGGCCTTTAAGAGGCATCTGGGGTGGTGAGGGATCAGCCCTCGTGAAAGGATGTGTACAGTTGCCATGGCAATGGCTTAGTTCTTGCTAGAGTGGGTTGTTGTAGAGCATGTTGGCTTCCTCTCTTGGCACATTCCCATTTCCTTCTGCCATGCATGAAGTGGCACAAGGCCCTCCCCAGAAGCTAAATAGATGCTGGTGCTACACTCTTGGACTTCCAGAACTGTGAGTTACAATAAACCTCTTTTCTTTATAAATTACTCAGTCATCGGTGCTCTTGTTACAGCAACACAAAACAGAGTTAGACAACATGGATGGCCACACAGCCTCCACAAAAAGTCCTCTTAGTAGAACGTCCCAATAAGGCCTATTGTCATGCTTTAGCAAAAGACAGTTCATAAAAATATACCTATCCCTGTATTAAATATCAAACAGAAAATTAATATAACAAATTTTAAAATGTTATGGCATTGTACTTCTTGGTACAATATCTACTTTGTAGATAGTTATACCTTGGAAGACAGACAAAAAGAAGCAACAAGAATTTTTCTTTTGGAAAAGGGGAGAGCACATATGGGAGATATAGGAATAGGTAGAAAACCCAAAACCTGAAAACATTTGATGTCCCCACTCCAGAGGAACTAATACAGAAACCTTAAAACGACAGGTAATCATGAGAAGGGGATCAGGAACCAATGTAAAGATCAATTAGAGATGAATCAACATGGGTCGTAACACATGGGTACATGAAAGCAATAGTAGGAATCTCTCTGTATAGCTATCCCTAACTCAACTAGCAAAAATGCTATGTCTTCCTTATTATGTTTATATCTTTTCTTCAACAAAATCAGTGATAAGGGCAGAACAGGTTCTACCTGGAAGTGAGGGGGGAGGAGGGCAGGGTGAAGAAATGACCCAAACAATGTATGCACATGTGAATAAATGAACAAAAAAATAAACAAATTTAAAAAAAAGAATTTTTCTTTTGCTGGATTTGGTGAACAGCATTATAAGTGAAAATCATTTCACCAAATTTGGGATGAATTTATTAATAGTATTTGATCATCTTGTCAACACCAAATTGAGCCAAAATCTCACACTTGTGCCTTACCCCATTATGGCGGCATAGCTGCCATCCGGTTTGGTATCATCCAATGTGTAGGCAATTGGAGCATCCTCTCCTTCAATCATCATGGTGCCACAGAAATCTTGGAGAAGACCAAAAGGGAAGAACATGTTTATCATCCTATCAAACTGCCCTTCCAATGAAGCTCATATGTTTGAACTTGAGAGGCTTGCCACAGCATATCATATTCTAAATATTTGATGGCAAACCAAACCGATGGAAACAGGAAGGCTGAGTAGCCAATATTTTGTGAAAAAAATCAAATCATACGCCCTTCTCTGCAAAAAGTAGAATAAGGTGGTATTTGGGATTCATCCAGGTCACCATTTCGTGAAACCTGTTTTCCTTGCTGTAAATCCTTGTGTCCCCTATTTCTTCTTTCAGTGGGAATCAGAATAAAATAAAGGTTGTACAAGGGAAATACCAGTCCATTCTGTAAGATGGAAGGGGCTGGATGGTCACACTTTTATGAGAAGCCATGTACTATTTTCATTTTATTTTAGTTTTAGTTTTAGTTTTTGAGATGGGGTCTTGCTATGTTGCCGGGGCTGGCTCTGAACTCCTGGGCTCAAGTGACTCTCTTGCTTCAGCCTCCTGAGTAGCTGGAACTACAGATGCACATTGCCATCTATTCATTCTGAAGGAATGCTTTTGGTTTTTCTATACATTTGCTCCAGAGCTGTCCATCATAATTTTATTAAAATAACCTCAGATTCACAAGAAAATGATGGAGCAAGAGGAAGAATGCCACTTACTCTATTTGAAGTAGTTCTTGACTGTCCAGAAGCAGGGCAGAGAGAGCATGGAAAACTAAAATCCGTACAGTGCCAAGTCCTCATTTCCAACATGACCTCTAAAGACCCCTTTCCCCCTCAAGAACAACTTGGAAAACAATTTCAGCTCATTCTGGATAAAAAAGGCTTCCCTTATTCTCCCTTGAACAAAATATAGTTGGCCTCCTGTATGTTCTACCTCTGTGGATTCAAACCAACTGTGGCTTGAAAATATTTGAGAAAAACATTATATGTGTACTGAATACGACCAGACTATTTGCTTGTCATGATTCCCTAAAGAATACAGTCCAGCAACTATTTCCTTAGCATTTAGATTGCACTGGGCATTATAAGTAATCTAGAGCTGATATGAAGCACGTGGGAGGAGGTGCGTAGGCTCTAGGCAAAGGATACACCATTTTATATAAAGGGTGTTAGCATCTGAGGATTTTGCTATCCATATGGGGGTCCAGGAACCAATCCCCTGTGGATACTGGGAATGCCTGTCAGTGCAGTTTCAACAAAAGATGGTAGTGAAAATTTCAGGTCTGAGTCTGAAATGTTATAATAATACCATACTGCACTGTACTCCTCCTTTTGCTCCATCATTTTCTTACAAATCTGAGGTTGTTGAAACAAAATTATGATGGACGGCTATGGAGCAAATGTTGTATAGAAAAACCAAAATACTCCTTCAAAATGAGAAGAATGAACAGAGAAAACTTTGGGGCCACACACCTCCCTAATCTGTGTGCATGCATGCATATGTGAGCGGACACCCTGGAGGCCTTTGAAACTGCACTTTCTTCCCTCTCTCTTCCCACATCTTTCCCCACCATGTGGGCTGGGATAGGAAAAGGCATTGAGAAAGACTGAGTGTGGAAGAAGGAATGTTCAAAGTCCACCCAAGAACTCAAGAAGACTTAAAAATACAAGAGACCTGTTAGAAGCAGGCAAGAAAGAGAGGGGACAGACAGGACAGGAGTTCCTGGGAGAGAAGAGCAGGTGCATATGGATCTTGGAGGGATCAGCTGACAGGACACCAGGAGGACCAGGGTGGAGGCACTGCTGTCTGGGTGGAGGGCTCTTTGGACCCTTCCTTCCCAGAGCAAGGCTGGCCTCTGAGCCAGGTGGGTGCACTTGGAGGAAGTGAGGGAACAAGGAGAAGAGAGAAAAGCCATGTTCACGCCAGGGGGAACCAGGCAGGCAGCATCAGTGGAATTTCTGTCACTTGCAGGGAGGAAGCTCAGAAGCCCTGCCCCTGCACACAGTGTTCCATCTCTTTGTGGGGGCTCACTCTTTAAAAGGGACAGGCAAGGACATCTAGACATTTCAGGTCTTTTAAGGGGAAAAGCAAATACAAAGGCAGGAACAAATGAACTACAAACCAACCAACCAGAAGACTCTCAGGAAAAAAAAACAGCCAACGATTCAGGGAGTAGGAGAAAGTTCCCAGCAAGCACTGAGTAACATCCTCAGAGAGAATGGAGATGTCCCAGCCGTGAGAGGTGAGGAAGAGGGAGATTCAGAGTAAAATAATGATAAAAGCTTCTTGAGAGGAAGGTGGCCTGGTGAAACAGTCACAATGTTTGCCTGGAAGAATACTTGAAGTTTACTAAGAAAAATAATATGATGAGAGAATGGCACTAGCTGCCAAAACATACCATGAGGCTATAATGATTGGAACAGCACAGTATGGTCAGAGGACTAGATAATATAAGTCTATGCTGTCCAAGCAGGGTGTATATACCTAGACTGTACATCTAGATAGTGGAAGAAAATGCTAGAAATTCTGAGCTTTTCAAAAAGTCTACTTGGTGTGTTTCATAGGTATAACAATACATATTTTCAAAAGTATGTGCATATAACTTAGGACTAAATAAATATTTATTTAATTTTTTAATGTGTACAGCTGCAAAAATATCTGGATCCCAGTGACAAAGATCAAGGGGATAGGAAGGCCCTATGTAGGGCTGGGGGTGTATGTAGCTCAGTGGTAGAACACCTGCTCAGCACAAAAAAATGAAAGAAAAGAAGGAAGGAGGGAGAGATGGAGGAAGGAGGGGAGGGAGGGAAGCCCTGAGTTCAAACCCCAGTCCCATCAAAAATGCACACACACACATGCATGTGCACACACACATATACATATATGAAAGATTCCATAATGAAATTTGAATTAGGACAGGGTACTGGCCTTGCATCAGACTGCCAATGTCACTGTCAAAGACACTGTAATTAAGTATGGCTTGAGTATTCCTTATCTGAAATGCTAGCAACCGGAAGTGTTAAGGATTTTGGACTTGGGGGATTTTTGGAATGTTTGCATATACTTATTGAGATGTCTTTGGGATGTAACCCAAGTTAAACATGAAAATCATTAATATTTCATATGCATATACATATAGCTTGAGGATAATTTAATACAATATTTTAAATAATTTTATGCATGAAACAAAGCTTCATGGTATGGAATTTTCCACTTGTAGCTTTAGGTAAGAGCTCAAAAAGTTGCAGGTGTTGGAGTATTTAGGATTCTGAGTATTTGAATCAGGCACACTCAGCTTACAATGACTCAAAAGAAATCTCAAATACTTTGCTGGGGCCAAAGTCTACAGTCATTTTTTAAAGGATTAGTCATTACCATTTTGTGTGCTCATTACCAACAAGGACCAAGTCAGATGTGGCCTTATCCGGATAGTGGAGAACTTGAGTTTTCTTTTTGACACTAGGGCTTACTTCTTGCCTGGTACATAGCACACAGAAGGTGAAGGCTTGCTTACACAAAATGGAAAGTTAGAGATTCTCCTTAAAAGAAGAGACAGGCTAGGCATAGTGGCTAGTGTCTGTAATCCCAGCTATGCAGGAGGCAGAGCAGAGGATCATGGTCTGATGCCAGCGGTGGGCAAGAGCAAGACCCTATTGAAAAATAATCTAAAGCAAAACAGGGATGGGGGCATAGCTCAAGAGGTAGAGTGCTTGCTTAGCAAGCACGAGACCCTGAGTGCAAACTCATGGCTCCTCAGGGCAGCACTGACAAAGGGTAAAATACACGCTTAGCTGACGCAGCAGTCAGTGTCAGTGCTGGCCATGCCTGTCTGCAGGAGTGGGAATGAGGAGCCTGTGCTGTGGCTGAAAAGGGTTACTATGGGTGTCTGTCCGTGGTGTCTGTGGGGGACTGGTTCAGGACTTGTGGATGCACAAGTCCTTTATAGGAAGTGGTGTAGTGTCTGCACAGAACCTTCACATGTTCTCCCACGTACTTTAAATCATCTCCAGATTACTAACAATACCGAATGTGATGCAAACGCTCTTTAAATAGCTGCTATACCAATTGGTAAGGAAATGATAACAAGAAAAAGGTCTGCATATGTTCAATACAGATGTAATTCTTTTTTTTGGCACTGCTGGGGTTTGAACTCAGGGCATTGTGCTTATTAGGCTGGCACTCTACCACTTCAGTCATGGCCCCCAGACCTTTTTTGTCTTAGTTATTTTCAGGAAAGTTCTCAAGTTTTTGCCAGGGGCCAGCCTCCAACCACAATCCTCCTACTTATAGTCTCCTGTATAGCTTGGATTACAGGCATACAATCACCATGTCCCACTTATTTGATGAGTTGAGGTCTCACTAGCTTTTTTTTTGTCCAGGCTGGCCTCCAGCTGTAATTGTCCTGATTTCTGCCTCTTGGTAGCTGGGATTACAAGCATGAGCCACCGCACTGGGCCAGATGCAATTTTTTCTGACTATTCTTGATCCATGACTGGTTGAATCTGCAGATATAGAGCCTGCAGACACAGGGAGCTGACTGTATGCAGGAAATACTGCCCTCAGAATACCATGTCACACTGTCCCCATTTGTCTCTGGTCAAGTGTCCCCTTTCTACAGTCTCACTCCTCATTTCAACCCATCCTGCCCTTTGCCTTCAGCCTTAGGGACTTCTTTCTTGGTCTCCACTTGGAGATAAGCAGATATGATGAAAATAATAAGAAATGACCCTAGTATTGTGCTGTCCCATGCAATAGCTACCAGACCCATGTGCCTATCCACATTCACACTTAAAGCAATGAAATAAAATTGAAAACTCTGGTTCCTCAGTGTCCCTAGCTATATTTCGAGCATTGGGCACCCACATGTGGCCAGAGTCTAGTGGACTGACAGAGTGGATTTGGAACATTTCCATCCTTGTTTCCCAATACGCTGTTGGACCTAGCATTGCAGTGCACCTGATAACTGTATACAAATGAAGAAATTTCATTTAATATACTAGAATCTTGATACTGTCAGAGGTGGCCTGGAAGTTTCCAGAATTCTCACCATTTTTTTTTGTGCTGGGGATGGAACCCAGGACCTTGTACATGGTAGGCAAGCTCTCTACCACTTGAGCCATGCCCTTTTGCTTTTAGTTCATTTTCAGGTAGAGTCTCACACTAACTTTGCCCCAGCTGGCTTTGAATCCTAATCCTCCTACCTCTGCTTCCCAAGTAGCTGGGATTATAGGCATGTACCATCATTCCTGGCCCCCCAAATACACTTTATTGAAAGAATTGTACTCAGAACCTGGACTAATATTTTGCATCCAGTATTCCAATGAAAATAGGTACATGCAAATATTTGTCTTGACACCAAATTTCTCAGACCTTGTCTTGAAGGTTTTTGTAACAAGGAAAGTACTCACCCTTTTTCTTCCAGAAGGGTTCTTTATAATAAACCATGCACTTTATGACTGAACCCAAAGGGACACGAGTGATCAGCTGATTTCTCATCATTGGCAGAGGGGGATTGAAGTGAATCTTCATGCCCAGAACAGGAGGAATCGCGCTGATCACATATTTAGCCTTGGAGGAAAGCAACGTGGTTAAATGTCATTGGTCTACTGTTTTTTCTGTTTTGATTCTCTCTCTGTCTTTCTCTCTCTCTCTGTCTGTCTGTCTCTCTCTGTCTGTCTGTCTCTCTCTCTCTTTCTCTCTCTCCATCTATCTCTCCCATCTCACTCATTCCCCCATGGTTCCCTTTCAGTCAGATAACCGCAAAGCCAGAATGATTCCACTAAAACCTACAGCAGCCCTTACTGTTCCCTGGTTTGAAATCTCCCATCATGCTTAAAGTCAAAGCCAAGTTCCTCACAGTCACCTCCAAGGTCATGCATGAAATTAACCCTGTTACCTCTAGTATCATTTCTCTTCCTCTTCCCTGCAGTCCTCTTAGCTCTGACCTTTTGATCACCTTAATCCTATCAGGCATGCTCCTCTGACCTCAGGGCCTTAGCACTTGCCGTTCTGTGTACCTGAAATGCTCTTCCCCCTGAGAGCCACATGGCTCAGCCTGTCATCTCCTTCAGCTCTGGGCTCAAGTATCACCTTCTCAATAAGGCCTTCAGCAGTGACCTTATTTAAACTTGCACGGTCCATCCTCACCCTGCTCTGTGACACTCTGTTCCTTCCCAGCTTGATCTCTTCCAAATTACTTATCATTATCTGACACACTTGAGATTTTAGCTGTACATTTGATTATGGCCTTTCTCCTTTAATGCAAGCCTTGGAAAGACACATAATTGCATCTGTTTTGTTCCCTGCCGTGTTAGAATAATGCCAGGCATGGAGGAAGTACCTGATATTTATCAAATAAATATTTTCTTTGGTTTTCTAGTTATGCAAGATTCTAATACAAAGGGTTGGTAAAATATCTTATTGTAAATCTCCCTTCCCCCACATATCCTGGCGCTTTTTTCCTTTCTTTCAGATGAAGGTGGCTTTGGCAAAGGGACTGTAAGGTCTGGAATACTCTTGGCTTTACATGAGCTTTCATTATCTATGGCACTCTAGTCTCTGTCCTGCAGTTTAAGGGTCTCACTTTACCTCGTACAGCTCATGGTTTAGTGTCTCCACGACGACATTGTCTCCGGTCTGGTCAATGTGGATCACAGGTCTCTCTAGCTTCACCCGGTCCCCGAGGAGGTCCATTATCCGCTCACTCACCTGACCAGATCCACCTACAAACTTCCTCTCCTAGAAAGAGAAAAGGACTCAAGACAAGGGTGGGAAACACAGAAGAGGGTGTTGATCACTAAGTGGCTAGTTTTCCTGGCTTGCCTTTGCTCTGAGATGTGTAAGATTTCATTTTCTATCAGGAATTTTCTCTTTCACCATTGTTTTCTAACTAGGGACAAAATTATAGATTGTGTAAGTCACCTTAAAGGTTATGCCCTTGTAGATTCCCAGGCTCCAGCCTCCACTGGACATCCTCACAATGACCCCATCTCCCACTTGACTGGTCATAACCCCTGTTCTGTGTCCCATCTGCATTCTTTTGTTGGGCTGCTGGGCCTAGTGAAACACTGCCTGGGGTTTGGTTACCACTTGCCTGAATATGCCTAACCTTGTCCCTGGGACTCAGGCTCAGAACCTCCCCACCTCTGCACTAAACCCCCTCTCCTCAGGCCAGCGCCTCCTTGTTGCAGGTTGCCCACCTCATCCAGGGTCAGGTGCCTGCTGCTGCTGTGGCCACCGAGGTCATTACAACTTAGTGCACCTGCCTGCCCCAGCTCTGTTTCCGAAGCTTCCCAATATTCTTCTTGGCTATGCGTGCTGTTGAGCTGACTGCCTGCTCTTGCTCAATTTTCAGATCAGTTCATTGTTTTGGTGGTACTGGGGTTTGAACTCAGAGACTTGAACTTGTTAGGCAGGCACTCTACTGCTTGAGCCATACCTTCAGCCCTTTTTGCCTTGGTTATTTTGGAGCTAGGGTCCTAGTTTTTGTTTTGTTTTGTTTTTTGCTCAGGCTGGCCTGGACCACAGTCCTCTGATTTTATGCTTCCTGCTGTTGCTGGGATGATAGGTGCATGCCACTGATCCCAGCTTTTTACTGCTGAGATGGAGTCTCACAAACTTTTTGCCTGGGCTGGCTTTGACCATGACCTCCCAATCTCAGCCTCCCAAGACATAATTTCTTCTCTTGTTTTTTCTTTCTTTTACTTTATTGTTTTTACATTTACTTACATGTGTATACATTGTTTGGACCACCTCCCTCCACTCTCCCACCCCCTCCCATCCCCCACTTCTGGGCAGAACCTGTTCTGCCTTGTTGTTCTCTGATTTTATTGAAGAGAAAACATAAGAGATAATAAGAAAGACATACCATTTTTGTTAGTTTAGGATAAAGATAGCTATTCAGAGAGATTCCTAGCATTGCTTCCATGCACTTGTGTATTGCAACCCACATTGGTTCATCTCTACCAGACCTCTTCACTACTTCCTGGTCCCCTTCCCACAGTGACATCTGCCAGTTTAAGATTACTATAGTAGCTCCTCTACAGTGAACACATCAACCACATTCAAGTTTTAGGTTTCCTTCCCTTTCCCTAGACCTCCTGTACACGCTCTTCCCTTAGTGTGTGACCCATGTCCAATAATATTACTGCATTTGTTTTAGTTCTAAGTCCACATACAAGGGAGAACATGTGCTTTTGGCCTTCTGAGCCTGGCTAACTTCGCTTAGGATGATGTTCTCCAGTTCCATCCATTTACTTGCGAATGACAAAATTTCATTCTTTTTTGTGGCTAAGTAAAATTCCATTGTGTATAAATACCACATTTTCTTAATCCATTCGTCAGTAGTGGGGCATCATGGCTGTTTCCATAACTTGGCTATTGTGAATAGTGCTGCAATAAACATGGATGTGCAGGTGCCTCTGGAGTAACCTGAGTCGCATTCCTTTAGGCATATCCCCAGGAGTGGGATTGCTGGATCAGATGGCAGATCTAGGTTTAATTTTTTAAGAAGCCTCCATATTGTTTTCCAGAGTGGTTGTAATAGCTCGCATTCCCACCAGCAGTGTATGAGGATTCCTTTTTCCCCACATCCTCGCCAACACCTGTTGTTGGTAGTGTTTTTGATGATGGCTATTCTAACAGGGGTAAGGTGGAATCTTAGTGTGGTTTTGATTTGCATTTCTTTTGTGGCTAGAGATGGTGAGCATTTTTTCATGTGTTTTTGCCCATTTGGACTTCTTCCTTTGAAGTTCAGTTCAGTTGCCCACTTCTTGATTTTGAGGGAGTTTAGTTTTTTGAGCTCCCTGTATATTCTGGTTATCAGTCCTTTGTCTGATGTATAGCTAGCAAATATTTTCTCTCACTCTGTGGGTGGTCTCTTCAATTTAGAGACCATTTCCTTTGTTGTGCAGAAGCCTTTTAATTTCATGTAGTCCCATTTGTCCATCCTTTCTCTTAGCTGATGGCCTGCTAGAGTTCTACTGAGGAAGTCCTTGCCTATATCTATTGCTTTCAGCGTATTCCCTGCTCTTTCTTGTACTAACTGCAAGGTTTCAGTTCTGATATTAAAGTCCTTAATCCACTTTGAGTTGATACTAGTACAGGGTGACAGGCAGGGATCTAGCTTCAGTTTTCTGCAGGCAGATAACCACTTTTCCAAGCAACATTTGTTGAAGAGGCTGTCTTTTCTCCATTGTATGTTTTTGGTGCTTTTATCAAAAATAAGGTGGGCATAGCTGAATGGATTCATATCCGGGTCTTCATGTCTGTTTCTATGCCAGTACCATGCTGTTTTTATTGCTGTGGCTTTGTAGTATAGTTTGAAGTTGGGTATTGTGATACCTCCAGCAAAGCTCTTTTTGTTCAGTATTGCCTTGGCTATTCATGGTCTTTTATGTTTCTAAACAAACTTTAGGGTTGATTTTTCAATCTCTGTAATGAATGTCATTAGGATTTTGATGGAAATTGCATTGAGCATGTAGGTGGCTTTTGTAGTATAGCCATTTTTACTATGTTGATGCTGCCAATCCATGAGCATTGGAGATCTTTCCACATTCTATAGTCTTCTTCGATCTCTTTCTTCAGTGGTTTGTAGTTCTCCTTGTAGAGTCACTTACATCCTTTGTTAAGTTTATTACTAGGTATTTGATGTTTTTTTGAGGCTATTGTAAATGGAATTGTTTTCCTATATTCTTTCTCAATTTGTTCATTGTTGGTGTATAGAAAGGCTACTGATTTTTGTAAGTTAATTTTGTATCCTGCTACATTGCTGAAGCTGCTTATGGTGTCTAGGAGTTTTAGGGTGGAGTTTTTTTGGGTTTTTAAGGTATAGGTTCATGTCACCTGCAAATAGAGATACTTTGATTATTTGTTTACCTATTTGTATTACTTTTATTTCTTCTTCTTGCCTATTTTTCTGGCTAGGAATTCCAGGACTATGTTGTATAGGAGTGGGGATAGTGAGCATCCTTGTCTCCTTCCTGATTTTAGGTGAAATGGTTTCAGTTTTTCTCCATTAAGTATGATGTTGGCTATAGTTTTGTCATATATAGCCTTAATAATGTTGAGGTACAGTCCTTCTATTCCTAGTTTTCTTAGAGCTTTTATCATGAAGTGGTGTTGAATCTTATCAAAGGCTTTTCCTGCATTTATTGAGATGATCAAATGGTTTTTGTCTTTGCTTCTATTAATGTGCTGTTTTACATTTATTGACTTACATATGTTGAACCACCCCTGCATCCCTGGGATAAAGCCGACTTGGTTGTGGTAAATGATTTTTCTGATATGTTGTTGGATTTGGCTTGCCATTATTTTATTGAGGATTTTTGCTTCGATGTTCAATAAGGAGATTGGCCTATAGTTCTCCTTTTTGGATGTGCCTTTGTCTGGTTTGGGGATGAGTTTAATACTGACTTCATAGAATGAGTTATGTTCCTCAGTGTTCCTTCCCTTTCTAGTTCATGGAAAAGTTTAAGGAGAGTTGGTATTAGTTCTTCTTTGAAGGTCTGGTAGAATTCAGCTGAGAATCAGTCAGGTCCTGGACTTTTCTGTTTTGGGAGACTGTTGCTGCTTCAATTTCATTACATGTTATAAATCTGTTTAGGTGATTAATATCCTCTTGGTTAAGTTTTGGATGGTCTTAAGTATCTAGAAATTTGTCCATTTCTTCAAGATTTTTCCAATTTATTGGAATATATGTTTACAAAGTAGTCTCATGATTCCCTGGATTTCTGTGGTATTTGTTGTTCTCTCCCCTTTTTCATTTCTGATCTTACTAATTTGGGTCTTTTCCCTCCTCATTTTAGTCTGATTTGCCAGGGGCTTGTCAATCTTGTTTATTTTTTCAGAGAACCAGCTTTTTATTTCATTGATTGTATGGATTTTTTGGCCTCTATTTCATTAATTTCAGCCCTTATTTTTATTATTTATTTCCATATACTTATTTTGGGTTCTGCTTCTCCTTGTTTTTCTAGGAGTTTGAAATATAGCATTAGGTTGTTTTTTTTTTTTTTAGATCTTTCTGTCCTTTTAATATATGCACTCATGGCTATAAACTTTCCTCTTAGGACTGTCTTTGCTGTGTCCATAGGTTCTGATAGGTTGTGTTTTTATTTTCATTAAGTTCCAGGAATCTTTTGATTTCCTCTCTTCTTTCTTCTATGACCCACTGATCGTTGAGGAATGTGTTATTCAACCTCCAATTATTTGCATATTTTCTGCTGTTGTTTTTGTTGTTGCGTTCTAGTTTTACTGCATTGTGGTCAGATAGTATGCACAGTATAATTTCTATTTTCTTATATTTGCTGAGGCTTGCTTTGTGCCCTAAGATATGATCCATTTTGGAGAAAGTTCCATGAGCTGTTGAGAAGAATGTATATTGTACTGTTGTTGGATGAAACATTCTGTAGACATCAGTTAGGTCCATTTGATCTATGGTGTCATTTAGTTCTAGGATTTCTTTGTTGATTTTTTTGTTTGGGTGGCCTATATATTGGTGATAGAGGGATATTAAAGTCTCCCACTACCATTGTGTTGGAGTCTATATGTGCTTTTAAGTCCTTTAGTGTATGTTTGAGAGGTAATTTCTTAAAAGACTATTTTAAATTGGTTCAGGAAGAAGAAGAAAAAGAAGGAGGAGGAAGAGGAAGAGGACAGGAGGAAGAGAAGGGGAAGGGGAGGTGGGGGAGGGAAGAAAAGAACAAGATGCCAAAGAGGTTATCTAAGAACTCAAATCTACTTCCTTCTGTGCCTGGCGCAGTACCTTGTGGAATGCTGGGGTTCAGGGAACAAGCACTGAATGAATTTCATGTGTGCTGTGTGTATTTTTTTTAATGTTCCTCTTTTAATTTTGTCAGTGCTAGGGATGGAATCCAGGGCCTGGTACATGCTAGGCAGGCACTCACTCTACCACTGAGCTACATCTCCAGCCCATGGTGTGTGTGTTCAAAATTGAAAATGCATGTCTAATTTTCCTTTTCAAACTTTCCAAGAAGTGCTCAAGCTATGTTCATCAGATGGTCTCCTACAATCTTACCAAACAATAATCCAATGTATATTTAAATGGAAAAATGGCAAAAGGCCATAAAGAGAGACAAGCCTGATCTTAAAAGTACACTGATTGCTAGGCTCTCACACTGGATACCTGACTGTCCCTTCTGAAAGCCACTTTGAGCTGCCAGGGTAAATCACCAAAATTCACAAGTCTGCTGAGCTTTGGCAGTTCCTGATTGAAGGTTGATGCAAGTTTTCATCCTGGTATTGGTGGTTTTCTGTTGGGATGTGGGGGAATGAATGGGTACCTGCCCTCCATTGGTTGTTGAGATGATTCTGGTGGTGCCACCACACTGCTTCACGTACCACAGGAACCAGAGAGCGGAGACTTCATGGGTCTCTGCAGTAACACACAGGTTCACAAAAAGAGTGCCAAGCTGCTTTGCAGAGCTGCACAGGAACAAAGGAGAGCAAAATTGGAAAATGCAGAAGGGCATCTTCTTAATTATCTAGAAATTATTCAAACAATACATTTTCTTGGCTATGTTTAGAGTAATTGGGCAAGTGGCAGGAAAATGTCACTAGAATCCAATATTATAAAACATAACAAGGGAGATTTGGGGAATATGAAATTGTAGTGCCCCTTAAACAAAACACCTTCTTCAGAATTGACTTTCGTTCCATATTCTGTGCTGTCATGATTTGTTCCCAGACACCTACCATTCTTCCAATGATCTTCATTCATCTTGGTAAGTGGCGCCATTATTCACTAAGTGCCAAAAGCCAACACACTAGAAAGCAAGTTTAATTTCTCTCTCTCCATCACTCCTCCTTCCTCCCCCAATCCATAAAAAGTCTAGTCATCTCTCACAACAACCACCTTCATTGCCATCAATTTAGCATCACTTCTTATCAGATTGGTCTCTCTGCTTCCACTCATCCTCACCTGATATCTATTGGCCACACTAGAAACCAGACACTCTTACCTCCCTCTGCACCAGAGTGCTTGTTCTCAAATGAATATCAAGTGACTATCATTCTCTTGCTCCAAACCCTCCACTGGCATCCCACCAAAATCAGACTAAGTTTCAGATCTTTTACCATGGCCTCCAAAGCCCTAAGGAATGTGGTCATAACTGCCTTTTCCTTCTCATCCTGTACCCTCTGCCACTTACTCTAATGTTTTTCCAGAAAGAGGCAATCTTAGTCCTACCACTATGGCATTCGCTGTCATTTTCCATTGTATAGTATATTTAGAACTGTCTTCAATGTCTGAAATTAACTTACTATTTTTGCTGTCTGTCATGTTAGAATATCAGTCTATGAGAACAGGAACCTTATCTTTCTTGCTCACTGCAGTGTCCCTTTAACAAAATAGGGGCCTGGCATATAGTAAGCACTTAGTAATTACTTGTTGAACAAGGGGAGAAATATCACACATTTTTTGTGGTACTAAAGTTTGAACTCAGGGCTTTGCACTTCCTAGGCAGGTACTCTACCATTTGAGCCAAGCCTCCAGCCCTTTTTGCTTTGGTTATTTTGAAGGTAGGGTCTTGCTTTTTGCCCAGGTCAACCTGAACTGTGATCTTCCTATTTTATGCTTCCCACTGGGAATGATAGGCGTGTGCCACCAGCTGCAACTTTTTTAAGGGTGAGATGAGGTCTTGTGAACTTTTTTTGCCTGGGCTGGCCTGGAACCTGGATCCTCCCAACCTCAAACTCCCAAGTATAAGCATTATCAACACATGTACAAAGAATACTCTAGGTGCTGTACCAAACACAAAATTAGTCACAGTTGTGCATTTCAATTATTTTAGTGCCTAACAGAAGACAAGTTCAAAGGATGGATGAGGAGAAAGGTGATGAATTCAAAAAAATACAGATGGGTGAACTTTTGCTTGGTGTCGTGGCAGGGAAATAGAGGGTATATACTATCAAGAAGCATGCCAGAAAATGAACAATCTCATGCAATTCCAAGGACCCAGACATATGTAGCACTCCCTAAAATCCACCATAGTAATGCGCACTCTTGGATCTCATTAAGAAGGACCAAGCTCTCTTTTGACTTTTGTGTAAACTTTGCATATTGTTAATCTAGTTACACCCGAGGAAGGATTTTTCACCTGGTAATGCTGACAGCAGGTGGAATAAATACCATCTTCCAGCTATCAAACTCTTTCTGCACTCCATGGTCTTTAAACTTATTATCTTGTTCAATTGTCATAACAATCTTAAAAAAAACCCACTATTTTCCCCCTGTTTGTAAACCAAAAAACTGAGTCTCTGAGAATTTAGTAATGTGTAGCTGTATAATTCAGTACATGGTACAACTTCAAACCAGAACATTACTGACTCAAAATTCATGCTTTTAATACCTCAAAATGTTTTATAATCAGTCATCTGACAACCTTGGAAGTGCAAATATTCACCGAGAGGCACCTCCCCCGTCTAGTGTACGCTGATGCTGAAAGTTTGTAGAATCATGCCTAATCCATATACCAGTTATTGACAGTGTCTGTAGCCATAATGACCTGACAGCACCTTTGTGACAGTTCCCATCATGATAGCCTGCAAAACAGTGTCCTAAATACATTGAAGTGACCTAGATTTAGTTGCAGAGGCAATCTGGTATCTATCTTAAGCAAAGATTCAGACATTGGTTTAAAATATTATTTCCAAGTGAAAATATTCCTTGCTATTTCCTGACATTCTATTTCTTTTGTTCCTTATTTTATAGGTGTATTCACAGGCATAGGATAAGGAAGTAACAGGTAACTAAAACTTGCTGTGGGCCTCGCCACACAGCTAATATAAAACATAAAAATGTTGCTGACATACTAATTGTTAATGTTGCCAATTTGGTGGGAAATAAATAATACTGTTTTTGACATGAAGGGAGATCTAAAAATGTAGAGGCCCCCTTATCCACAGGGGATACATTGTAAGACTCCCACTCGATGCATAAACCTTGGATAGTACTAAACCCTGTATACATTATTTTTCCTTTACGTAACTGTAATAAAATTTAATTGATAAATTAGGCACAGTAAGAGATTAATAACAATAATTAATAACATTGAATAACTATAATAATACACTATCATAAAAGTTATGTAAACGTAGTCTCTCTCTCTCTTTCTCTCTCTCTCTCTGAGATAGAGTCTTGCCATGTGGCCCAAGTTGCCTTCAAACTTGAAATCCTCCTGCCTCAGCTTCCACAGCACTGGGATTAGCTCTCTCTCTCAAGAGTCTAGAAAAATAATCTCAGATGGAGGTTGGCCATGGGTATTTGAAACTACAGGAAGCCAAAGTGTGGACAAGGTGGATGGGGGAGGGGGAAGACTGTAACTGTCTTGAGAGGGCCGGTCCACTCCTAATGCTTTATTTGATTTACTCTGGGAGCTTCAATAAGAAAAGGAGCTGAACAATATTTGAGGGACGGAAGGTCAAGAAAGCTAGTGTAAGACTATTTTTTGTATTTTTTGATCTGTTGACTTTTAAAAAGATAAATGTTATAACATTTTTTCTACATGAAAAATATATACACATTAGGTAAAGTTTGGAAAATTCATAAGATAAAAATATGAGCGAATGAGTAGCTTCCATATTTCTGTTCCCCAGAAGATAATAACTAGTCTCATTTTGATGCATTTTTTCTAAGCACAGGTTTTCTAAAAACGATCACATAGCTGTGATCATTGTAAATATAATTTGTGTTTCTGAAGAACACTTTATAAATAACAACTGACAGATGATCAAGGTTAGCCTTCAAATGTATAATTGTGCTTTAATTTGAACCACAATAGGTTGGCTATTCTGGGAATTATTTCCTTTAAAACCAGTGAATGATCTCATGCTTATCTTGCTTAAGAAGAATTAGAAAATTGCCTTGTGTTTATGTACTGCTAACATCCCCAAATGCTTTTTTTTTTGCACTGTAAACAGCCAATAGCATTCACTAAGTGAAGGACTATGCCAATGACTACAATAGAAAATCTCAGGTCTGTAAGATCCAAAGAAATG